CTGCGATCATTTATTTGGTTATAATATACTGCGTTCGCGAAATGATGTGATTACTTGTATGATTGTTGAATCGTTCGTTATCCAACTGAAAACGATGAATTACAAAAGCAGAATAGAAATGCGCCACAAACTGGTTAGAAAAGAGCTTCAAACTGTAGGCAAGTTTTGTTAGTGTTAAGAAAATGATTCGAAATTCGACAGTAATATTCAAAAAATTGATCGTTTAAAGGAACGTATGGAATTACCAAATTTCAATATTGCCACCGATCGTGCACCACCGATCAATTTAACAGTCTCAACGCTCGAAGAAGAAATGTCATCTAGCATTAGAAATCAAGGTTCCCTGGCTTTATAACATTCACGGCCTATTCTCTTTTGAATTGAAGAAAAGGATAAATTTCTGAGGTGAAGAATGCCTCGAAATGTCACCGGAAATTGAAAGCTTCCGTTTAATCTTATGGTTTCAGTTGATTATGAAATTTGAAAAAAAAACGTTTTGTACAAAGGTTGTACTTAGGTGATATTCAAGAATTGTCAATTTAATGACTGTTTTCGTCGATATAGAGAGCGCTAAAATTTGCAGACGAATGCGATGAGAATACAGAGAATATCGATCCTTTGTTAGAAGAATCTGANCAAGAAAATACGGTGTCGAGCCATCCCACTGAATCTTACAAAGTGATGGATGATGTGTTGGCGGCATCTGGAGATGGACATAATCAAAAGCAAACACAACAACAAAAACGAAGCACAATCTACGGCATCTCTCAGGAGCTTCTGATTGCTGATGAAACGATACGAAATGATGCTGACAATCAGGGTGATAGACGACGATCGACGTTGATTGACACAGCGGTTGATGAGTTGAGAAGAAAATCATTGAAAAGTAGCGCACAAGAACCGCAGATAGCACAGGTACCTCTGACGCAACTACCTGAGACAAGAAGAGTATCGCAAGTGGTGAACAGCGCTGCGGTATCTCAACCGAACAGTCAGCAGGACGAAGAAGAACCAATGGAAATTGATCAAAGTGAGTTTGCCAAGATCTGAAACAAAATTATGGTTAATTGTAACACCCTCCCCTGAGGTTCTCTTCAGCTCAGTCCTATTATATTCCACTCTTTGCCCATATATTTCATGTATCTTGCATAAATCTATCTTCTGAGTTCATTGCTTTTGGATGTTTTTTACTTGTAATTGCTTGATTCTAATGTGCTGAATTCAAAATATTGTAATACAGCGTTGAATGAATCTGAAAGGACGCAACGAATGAGAACAGCAGCAAATGCACCACCGCAAGCTAACGAACAGGTATAATTCATCATAATCACGCATCATGACAATGAGAATTGTTTTGAAACGATACCTTCTGATTAAATGCGAAAAAGCACCTTCATAAGTCAAGGAAACTCCAACTGAAGTTCAATTTTTTTGTGAAATTTTCATGGTGATATAGCATATTACGGCGAGCAAACTTCCACTGTCGATTGCTTCCGTGGATTAGTTCTCATTCCAGGATGAGCTGTTAGCACTTCTTTGTTCAGAGAAATATGTTGTTGTATTACAGAATGAAGGGAAACGTGGTGAATGGCTGACTGATTTGGTGCTCGGAGTTGGCACCACGAAAGTGCCACAACCGTATGGTGTAGCACGGAAGTGGACTAATTCAGTAGCATCGAGAAAGTCTTATGCATGTGGACAAAGGATTGACAACAATGATGATGAGACGATAGTCGAAGACGTTGGGAATTCGAAAACAGCAACTGCTCGAAGTGTTCGTCATTCGATGGATAGCGCTATCACGAGACCAACGGTAGATTCAGCGGGAATTGTTTTTGATTGTAAATCGAGGATGTGATACAAGAAGACAGTGGAATTCTCAAAACTGGACTTCGTCATCCAGCATTAATCGTTAGCAGTAATCAGGAATGATGTTCCAATTGCAGATGCTGTCGTTACCAAGGCATCTTCTGCGATTGACTGATTGATTTTCAGAGTGATGTATACGACAATGTTGGTGAAACATATGTAATGGCCGAAACAACGACAGCAACAACTCACGAGGAAGAGATGGCCGCCAGAGCTCTGATGGGCTTGAGCAATGCTTCGGTAGCGACAAAAATGCCCACAGAGATTCATCAAAGCCCTGAAAAATTGCCATCGTCGTCATCAGCACAACCGGACTCAGTGAAGAATGCAGTAGAAAATGAGGTATCCCAGTCTTGTTTGGTTGAGAGAACCCTTCTCCACTCAGATTTTATTTTGAGTGCTGACGGAATACCTTTGATCACATCTCCTTGTCGTAGTCACTCATAAAGTATTGGTGTCTTTCACGTGTTGTTATCATAATCATTAGTGGGTTGTAAAATTATGGTTATTCTAATAGAATTATTCATTTAAGGAAATATCGCATTCATCTTCTCAAACCGGCAATGATACAGCTGGTACTCAGGTTCGATTCATTCATTTTGGCAGTCCACTCATATCACGGAATTCATTGGAACCTTTCACTTCTCCAGAAATTATCCAAATTTGATATTCATGAGTTGGATTTGGCAGAGAATGTATGAGAATTCCTGAATCGATGAAAAACTCTTTCTCAGATTGCGAGAGCGATTCCGAATATGTGTTCCGTACTAGAGGAAGATGCTTGAGAACAGACCGTTATTGAGAAAATCTTATCGAGTTTATGATAGAGCTGAGAAAGACTTGGATTCGTAGGTTTGTGCCGAGACTGGCGATTCGTATTTGATTGATGAGCGTAATTCATTAATTATCCTTTGATTGATCGCCTTTGCAGGAGGTTACCGTCATCAACAAAGCTGTTGTCGATAATTCGGCGCTTGAGAAATCACCGAAAAGTCGTTGGGATGATGAAACAACTCTCGTCGAGAATGCAGCCGATAAAACAAAAACGATTTCTGAAAATGTTACTTTTTATAATTTTAATGATATTGGTGCACCACTCGGTTTCAAGCAAAACTTTCTTTTTATAATTTCGTTTTATTCATGTTTGTTGAAGGAGAGAGTCGAGAATTTCTGTGAAAATGTTTTCTTGATAAGATCATTGTTTTATTTCGACGTTTCTATTTGCGATGGTTATTGAGGTATAAGATTCAGATGGAAATTTGCACCTCGATTCAACAAGTAAATCTGAATGTGCTCATCATAATTCGTTTCTCTTCGTAATATTTTCGGTTGAATATTTTAATTCGGAATACTGATCAATAAATTTTAAGAGTCTGTCTCTGGATGTACCACACACTGGCGTGCCTGCTGTGTTGAAGGGAACCTTCAATGAGTCATCAATCGAAAAAATCACCAATGAAGGAGATACCCACAACGAGGTGAGTTTCTGATCACTGAGAACATTATTGAAACGGCATTGGTTTGTTGAGGAACGATTGAAGACTCATTTGTTTCAGTTAGTCTGAGTGTTTTATTAAGTGAGAAAAATGCAGGGTAATATTCACAAATCTCATCGCGTTCTCATCCTCTCAAGCAACACTAAAATGGACATCGTTTTGTCAAATAAATGCAAATCTATAATTGATGCAATACTTTTTTCAAGAGTACTCTTGTGGCTACACGTTCGATGCGTGAAGAAATGTTGAATTTCCTTGACGCTTCTTATGGTGGTCATGCAAAAGCGCCGAAGAGTAATCGAACGTTGTTCTCTTTCAAAACACCGAAGAAAACTAACGCAGGAAAAAGTAAAGTTGACATCAGACGGCATTCGCATCATGTGACAACAGCAACGACAGCTCAGGTTGAAAGACATTGCTCTTAAATTGGTTTTGGTCGTTGTTGAATGTTCGATTATTTAGCTTCCAGTTTTCATTTAACATTCACTGGGACGTTCATTTAAATTGTATCAACTTCACACTGGAAGAAATGTTTTTGCAGAAAGATGCTGTTTTCGAAAAACGTGTTACGAGTACACCGTATTCGGAAAATCAACCACACGTCTGTCCTCGATTCGCTGCACATCAGGCGAGATCGCTCTCACCAGCAAGGTGTTTATTGTATTATCGAATAAGTTATATTGCTTAATAATTTTTCATTTGATTGTGCGCTCTGGAGAGCCAGAGTTGATGCCTTCACGAACTGATCATTACCGATTCAACCTAGTGTTTTCGTTTGATTTCTGATCTAAATCAATAAAATTTCTAAAACACGTAAAATGATCAAATAGTTTCTTATCTTTATGTGCGCTGTTACCGATCGTCATGACTTGTTTTTGTTTATTATCAAAATCGCATTTGCGAGTAACGTTTGAAAATTTATCATTTTTGAACCTAATGCGATGTAATTGAAGAACAAAACAGCAGAAGAGTGCGCCGTCAACCCCGGTGAGTGGTTCCCGCATGGTGCGTATTGGGCCTGGCACACGCATCCTTCATTCACCAGTTGTACGTTTTTTAATTTGTCTGTTTTTTTTTTTAAATTCTGATGGTGCAGTGCCACCACATTCGTTGGCCACTTATGAGCTTTTACTTCCTCGACTTATTAGTTTCTCTTCTCAACTTTAGACGTATCAATTCACATCTTGATTCACAATTCACTGTCGCTATGTATTGGTTCACAGCACATGCAAATGAAATTAATTTACCAGAAACGACGAACAGTTTCTGAATGAATGATGAACGAAAATCTAAACAGATTAGTGAATTATAGGTGAATGTGGCAAAAGAAGATAAGTCTTCGCCATTCCGAGTGCCCAGCATTCCGAGCACCACTCGTCGATCACAGACCACATCAGTGGCTTTGCAACAGATCGCTGACTACAAATCACCGGTAGGAAATTTGAGTCAATTCTCANTTTTGAGAAGATGCATTGTTTGTGATTAAGAAAGTCATTGACTTCACATGGATAATTTATTCATTCGAAATTTTCCCTGATGAATTCTTGAACTTTTTGCATTCTGCAAAAATGTTCGACGTTTTTTTGTTGTTGTTGTCATATATTCGTGGTGTTACGTGTCATGAGCAAGACTGGTATATGGATGTTTGCTGTAATTATTGCTTTTTATTGATGAGTGATTATTGTACCTTTCGATTGTTCGTGAAGAAATACTATGAATCTTATGAATAACGCAGAAATCAGTGGAGGTAACCGAATGAGATTGGGTTCGATCAAAATCTTGTCAAATACCAGTTATACGTTTAGGATGAAATTCGATATTTTGAGCGAAATACATCAAATTATTTGATTGGAACTCGAACGAACATTTTCAAAAAGTAACCAAATTCAGCAGTTAATCGGAGATGCCGAGGTAGAATTCGTTTTCGTTTTAGGATCGAAGCCGTGAATTCGATACAGTGAATATCTCCTCTTCAACAAACACGCTACTGCCCTCGCCACGACCATCCGGAACGAAGCATTCTCGAATCCCGGCGCCCAGCGCCGAAGAAGCTCCAAAGCAACAACAACAGCGTCAGCGCCACTCGGTTAAATTCAACGCTGACGTGTCCGATGAAGTGAAGCAATACCTCATATCAGGGGGCACTCCACGTCCGAACTCTCGAAATGAAAGCGGTACTCAAGCTGCAGCACGCGCAGTGCAAGCCACAAGCCCGTCGTCACCGTGCCCAAGACGAAGTGGCTTTGTGCTAATCGAACCGAAAACTCCGGCCGCCGGTTTTGGTATGTAATCTTGTGATATCCATTTTTATCTCACTATTCGCTATTTTAAATGTTTTGTTCATGTCACTATTGTCGTTATCGTTGCTATCTTCAACCTGAAGTTGAAAATTCCAGCATCCAGTCTTGCAGTTTATTTGGTACTTGTTATATTGCGATGAAGATTTCTGATCAATTTGGTCGGAATTATTCAAAATCTGATTTCAGTATTGGGATGCAATCAGAAATCAGATGAATATTGCTGATGAGTAGATTGCATCGTGCTTGTGAGTTTTGATTTTGAATTGAATTTGACAGCCAATTTTCAGATTTCTCTCAACTGTTGTCCGAACAGCTGTTGGCGAGTGGTCCCGTGTGCCGTCGTCAACCCCTACAAAATCGTCGTTCTAGTCGTCTCCCCTTACCGAAACTGAATTTTGACACGAAACCTGAAGATGGATTAGAACAACAGAACAAGCCAAAGGTGATCTTTTTTGGATGCTGTTTGATTCTTTGATGTGATGGGGAAATTCGGAAACTGATCNGAACAACAGAGCAAGCCAAAGGTGATCCTTTTTGGATGCTTTTTGATTCTTTGATGTGATGGGGAAATTCGGAAACTGATCAAATTTTATATGCAAACCGAACTCTATAATCCATAACGTTTAAACATTTAACGTTTTAACAATTTCAGACTGAGTTAGGAGATGCCAACCAATCGACAGATTCAACAGGTACGTTGAATGCGATGCAAATTTTCATTGTTTATTCGGGATACTTTAACAGTACACGACTCAAAGGCTCATTGGGCTGTTGTCGAAATCTTTCATTGTTGATTTTGGAGTTTTTTGTTCTTCAGAAAAGGGAGAGCCCATCCGAAAGATAGTGATTGGTGATGAAGACGATGAGGATGTGGGCGATTATGGTATGGATGGTCTGGAGAGTGAAGCAAGTCGTTTGAGTATTCACGACGATGACGAAGTGGACGGTATGTGTCAATTAGAAACTGCTTCGTTCAGCTCATATCAGTGGAAAGAGATCCAAATTCAGTTTTGAGGTGCACAAAACGTTCAAATTGTCAAATTCAATGATATTTCAGATGNCAGTGGAAAGAGATCCAAATTCAGTTTTGAGGTGCACAAAACGTTCAAATTGTCAAATTCAATGATATTTCAGATGCGATTGATCGAGTGAAGGTATGGGCAAAGGAAACTGTACGAGCAACTGAACAGCGAAAGAGTATTCGCACAAAGTGTAAGAAGCGGTTTTAAGCTTTTGAATTTTTTCGTTTTCATCTATTGGTGGTTTATTAAGATCATGTTGGGAAATTATATGAGGCGGCTGCACGTTGTGTGACCGGGAGAAATCAAGGTGATATCTTGCAGTGTTGGATCTTTCGATAGCAACGTTAAATTCGCCAGAAGTGGAGAAGGACTCGACCTATCGTCTTCAGAAAACGATCGTCGACAGTCAACAAGATTCGTTGGCCTTATCAAGCACTACAGCAGATATCTCAGCGTGCTCGTCGCACTATTCACCCATCCATATAACTGCTGCACCCGAGCCAAAACACGAAGAAGTCGGGTATTTGGCGAAGAGAAAAATTGGTACGTCCTTTGATAAATGAAATTTTCACTCGAATGTTTTGTTAGTGATTGTCTTTGAGTTGTATAGTAACTTTTTGTTTTACACGCCAACAATTGCAGAACATCCGCATGATATACCCGCGGGTGTGCGACGTTCAACACGAAATCGTGTGCCACCGTTGCGTTCTTGGCTCGGTGAACAACCAATCTATCGAATTGACGAAAATCACAGTTCGTTATTTCTCGTTCATTCGTTCTATTTTTGATCGTTCAACAATTGTTCTGAACAATTTGGAGAATTTAATCATATCTGAGCGATCCTTCAGCTGATGCGAAATATTTCTTGCAGTCACATAGTTTTGCGAGTATACTGAATTAATCGTGTGAGCGCTCATTCACCAAACAATTTTTGATACTCGATTCTCTTGTGCTCCATTCAGTGCAGACAAACTTCATAAATTCCGTTATTGTTTTGTAATTTGAATCTGACAGTGTTATGAAGTTTAGCTCTTGAACTGGTCGACGTTTCAACGGTGAGCATTCGAGATCGGTATCTTCTCAAGTATAATACTGCTTCACCAACTGTTGCGTTTGAGCGTGCTGCGCGTACACAAAGTAAGTTTTTTGTTTTCTAATGCCCATTCTTCATTCAAGTCTCTTTGCCATTCGTTGGAACTCCTGTTTAAGATGGGTAATTCTTTAGCGTTAACAATATATATATGCATCCAAATTTATTCACAAAATTTTCATTATTTGTGAACATCTGAAGAGTTGTAGGATGAAATGGAATCTTCAGCGCTCAGTTTTAAGACAGTCATAGTTGTTTAGTTGCGCAATAGTTGAATAAAATTAAGAGTGAAGTGAAATGTATTGCAGAACAACGAGCGCATGCAAGGAAACTTCTTCGGGAGTCGAAGCTGTCTCGTAAGAAACAAAAAATCAAGGAACTGAAGGAGAAGCACAAACGCGCCGAGGATTTGGACGTGAGCACTCAGGATATCAGAACGTCTTCATCTGAATCTGAGAGCGACTAGTGAACGGCTTATGGCAGTTATCTCAACAGCAATCATTCCAGCAATTCACTATATCATCAACAAGGTGTTCCTTAAATCGTTTGAAGATGATTGTTTTCAATAATTCTGTTCCATTCTCGTCTCTCATAACCCGTTTAAATTCTTCGATGAATTATGTAATTTTTAAAGTGCTGCATTTCATCCTATCATATGCATATACATATATTCCAATTCATATGATATGATACTCCATATATTCATAGTGCAATATGCATTATATGAAGACATTTGGTTTGGTGTAGTCATTTTTAAATACATCCGAAAATGATTGAATTAAGCTGAATGCTTGTGCGATTGTATTATATCGTATTTTGTGCTATTTTTCGTCACGTAAACGTGGCTTATTTCATATGCATTTAGTGAAATGTTGGATTTTGTGTAGCAAGATCGAGCGCAATCATTATTATTGTCCGTATTGATGTACTTCGTAATATCCATATCGTTGTTATTACTCATATTGGCATTATCTTTAATGGCAAAGTTATTGAGTTATGGCTCATTCCTGGCTTTTTATCTTCTATAGTAATGTTGTGTTTATTATGATTATTATCATTGTAGTGATTCAAAATGGTTATCGTTGTAATGATTATTATCATTGTTTTATTGTAGTGATTCATATGATAATGATTATTAACATTTATCTACATCTCTTTCACAGTTTCTCTCATCCAAATATATGCTGAACTTTAGGCCGTTTACGTGAGTTGTTCCGCTGATTTCAGTTATTTGTCATTGTAGTTTTCTTAGGTTATTTCTCGCTATGGGCTGCTTTGATAGCACCATGGATGACCTATTCTATGTAATAATTGATTATGCCAATTCTCTACGATTTGTAGCAGTTATAAGACGGTCCGTCCAACACTACAGTTGTGCAGTTTGAGTTTTGCTCGTTTTATATCCATATGATACGTTGTGTTATCGTCATGTATATTCACCTCACTTCATTTCATCTACTTTTGTCTGGAATTGATTGTGAGCTTGATGAGGTTGTATGTTTATAGGGTTGGTACTCATTTGTGTGTGTGTCTTAAGTAGATCGCATTTCGTTTGCATTGTCGAAAGTATTTTTATCGTGTTTAATTCGTCCTCATAAATATTTATTTAATTCTGTTCGTTGAGACCAAGAAAGCATAACCTTCACTGACAAATACAGCGTAACATAATTTCTGGTGATTGAGTGGAGTTGATGAAGAGGAGTAAAATGCGCAAAATTGGGTATTTTTCTCTACATTTGAGAGATCAGTTGATTTAATTGATTTGAGAGATCAATGTTCAATTTGTCCGCCCAAATCAAAGAAAGAACAAATAAAAGATAACTTTGCGAAGATAAAGATATTGGGATTTATTCAGAAGGTGGATCAACTGTGAAGAAATACGAGACTCACGTCTTCATACCTATTGGACGTCTAAAACAATTTCTAGCCAGCTGACCCAGCTTGTCCCATCCCGATGCTAATCTTGCTGAACAGAGTCAAATGCAGAGATGATTTTAAAGTGGCAATTCTCAAATGGGACCCATGAACCTATCGGAAGTCGGATTAAAACAATGTTGGATAGAAAAGAGTATCTGGAGTACGAGCGTGAGGCTGAGACGAAGTTTCGCTTGATTTCGGGTGTCATTACGCTGAACCTAATCTGAGCTTGATCCAGTTCAAACTATTTATTTTTTTTGATGTTTTAAGGACATTTCACATTCGCATGGTCCTTTTATCCCTACGAT